GCTAGAACTCCGGGTTCCAAATATCCCTCACCATTTAAATTTTTGTAGGACTGTCTATTATGTTGACGCAGCTGGTCGTGAATTCTGTCTCAAGCAATCCTCCACCTTGGCTTAAAATGCTGGAATTATAGGCGGTGAGCACTGCTCCTGGCAACCGATATTGAACAAAATTCCTGGACAGTGGAAGGTTTAAAACTATTATCTGAACAGAAGTAGGTTTGAAGGGGCTCCAACTAGCCCAAATCTGACGATCAAAAAGAGGGGCAGGATTTCTGTTATGGGAGTTAGGAGCTCAAAAACCTGCCCATGAAAGCAAAAGTAAATGCTGGACAAAAATGGCAAAACCCACCTTTCAGCGTTTAGAAAGGTAATGCATAAAGAAAGTGTGTTAGTTTTTCACTGAAAAATGTGGCTGGGCTCGGTGCTGCTCCTATGCTCCTTTCGACCCCCAAATGGAATTCTTCGAGGCTGGGGCAGGCTGTGGAGACGAGGAATTCTTTGGTACAGATGGAGAAACTCATTCTTTGGAGCAAAGGCAAATTGTCTGTGGGGTGAACTTGGAGTCTTAGTGAGGATAGCCAAGATTTACTAGCCTAGTTTGTAGCTGGTAATTGCGGCCAGGCATTTCCTAGCAGCGGTGCCACATGTGCAGGTGGCAAACCAGGAGACGGGCTCAATCGTATTCACAACTCCTGGATAAACTGAGACCCATAGGGGCCTGTAAGTATAGTGGCAGACTGAAACAGCCTGAACTTTGAATCTGGCTGCCTCATTCTGGCACATACAGATCCTGGCAAGAATATGTATTTAGGTCGAGGGTCTGAGTATATTATCCTGATTCTAATATGCAGACCAGCGGGATCTAAAGAAAGCCTCTTTTTTTTTTTTTTTTTTTTTTTTTTTTTTTGAGACGGTCTGCTCTGTGACCGCCCAGCTGGAGTGCACCCAGGCTGGAGTGCAGTGGCCGGATCTCAGCTCACTGCAAGCTCCGCTTCCCGGGTTCACGCCGTTCTCCTGCCTCAGCCCCCCGAGTAGCTGGGACTACAGGCGCCCGCTACCTCGCCAGGCTAGTTTTTTGTATTTTTTAATAGAGACGGGGTTTCACCATGTTAGCCAGGATGGTCTCGATCTCATGACCTCGTGATCCACCCGTTTCGGCCTCCCAAAGTGCTGGGATTACAGGCTTGAGCCACCGCGCCCGGCCCCCAGAAGCCTCACTTAAAAATAAAACCAAGAATATTAAAATACGTTCAAAGAACCAAAGAAAATAATGTTTAAAAACTGGAAGGGATGTATGACAACCACGAATTAGCAAGTAGAGATTCTCAGTAAGGACACAGAAATTATATGGAAACAAAAACCCAAATCCCAAAGTTGAAAAACATAAAGTTTAAAATTGAAAGATAATTTGTTATGCTTTAAGAACCTTAAAAATATTCACACCTCTTGCATCTATCTACTCCATTTCTCGGTTTAATCAGGAGAATGAGAGATATACACAGAAATTTATAAACAACAATTTTTTTACAGATTTGTAATCATAAAGAAATATACAAGCTAAATGTCTATTAGCAGAAACTGGTTAAAGAACATGACATTCCTCATAGTTGAAAACTTAATAAACAACAACATGGGAGACTATAAATTTAAAATATCAACACTACTAAACTCCTTGGAAGAACACATAAAAAAATAATTTTGTGGTTGAGTACTTTAGAATTAATTTCCAAGAAAACTACAGTTAATTTGCACAGGTTCGATCCATTCTAACTACTTACCTTCTATTTAAAGGGTTTTACTTAAACAAAAAGTCAACAGACCAAAACAACTGAAACTCAGGAAGAAAATGAACCTTTTGAATAGCAATGAATTAAGGACAAAAAACAAATTGTCATAAAATACAAAGATACCTTGTTTCCCAAGGCCGGGCAGTAAAGGCATAGGGCTTAGAGGTTAGGGCACCTACAGGGCAGATATCAATGATATTCCCAGACAGTTCAGACATGAACATCTTTTCAATGTATGTGCCAACTTGCATATCATTTCCTCTGCCTGTTGTTCCCAAATCATCTACTCCTGCAATCTCACTTGCAAACCTACAAGATAAAAAATGTGCCATCAATGGTTAAGTCCAGCCAAATTATTTCCTTTCTTATTCATGATCACAAAGAGATGATTTCCAAAACACTAAAAAGAAATGAGTATATTTTCAAAGGTGAGCACAGTCCTAGAATAAAAAATAATGAAATGTTTACATTTAATTGAGGTGTAACTCACATGCAGAAACTTGTACAAATCATATGTGTACAACTCAGCAAGTTATGAGTGAAAGCAAATGCTTATATATTTTAATTTTTAAATCCACCTGAAGTTGGTACTAAATGAAAGTGAACTTATTTTATTGGTATATCAAATACAGCATCCCTCTTCTCCCACCCAACAAAAGTAGCCATTCTTTCCAATGTTATTATTCATCAAATTATGACTATTAAGTATACAATTATATTCTATAATAGAAGAAAAAAGGAAAAAAAGTTACCTGATGCAGCGAGTACACTGTATACATCTTGTCATGATGGTCTTTACCAATGGCCCAATGTTCTTGTCTTCCACAGCACGCTTCCCCTCTAAAAATCGGCTCCTATCATTTCCAAACATCATGGACTGGTCCTTAAGTAGATTATTAAAGAGTCAATCGAATGCTGCTAGTAAAATTAAAATCTGAGACAACCAAAAAGATTGACAGAATTCTACTACATACCTGCAGATCACATTCACCTCCCTGGTCACAAATAGGACAGTCCAGTGGGTGATTTGCTAATAAGAACTCCATCACACCTTCCCTGTATGAAAGTTGTAACATATAAAATGACTCTCAAATATACACACACTGACATAAACTGCTGTCACTCAAAATGACCTACAGACTTTACTTTTTTTTGAGATGGTGTCTCCCTCTGTTGCTCAGGCTGGAGTGCAATAGCACGATCTTGGCTCACTGCAGCCTCCAGTCTCTGCCTCTCGGGTTTAAGTGATTCTCTTGCCTCAGTCTCCCAAGTATCTAGGATTACAGGTGCCCACCAACCCACCTGGCTAATTTTTGAATTTTCTATAGAGGCAGGGTTTCATCATGTTGGTCAGGCTAGTCTCGAACTTCTGACCTCAAGTGATCCTCCCGCCCTGGCATCCCAAAGTGCTAGAATTACAGGCGTGAGCCACTTTGCCAGGCCCACCTATAGGCCATTTAAACAACCTACCTAGATGTATTTTTTTTTTATGCAATTAATAGTAATTTTACATTTAGTATCAGAAATGCCTACTATCTATCATTCTGGTAATATTTTTTTAAGAGACGGGGTCTTGCTATGTTGCCCAGGCTGGCCTTGAGCTTCTGGGCTCAAGTGATCCTCCTGAGTATCATTCTGGTAGTATTAAACACACAATCTGGCAAATGCTTAGAGGAGCCTAGAATAAAGTATAACTAGAGAACACAGAAAATTATGATTTTTGGTCAGGTTTGGTAGCTCACGTCTGTAATCCCAGCACTATGGGAGGGAGGTTGAGGCAGGATGATCACTTAAGGCCAGGAGTTCGAGACCAGCCTGGATAATATAGTGAGACCTTGTTGCAAAAAATAAAGAAAATTGTAACTTTTAACAACACCGAATGATCAAAAGTTGCTGAATGGTCCTCAGAAAATATTCACATTAATTCAAAACAAAACCAAACACAAGCAGTCCCGGTACAATATAGCAATAGCTTAGTAAGTCCAGATTAACCCTTCATCATAAGTTGAGCAAGTTACTAAACAGGGATTTTTAATGCTGATCCTAAGGCTCAATACCATAAACTCCTGACTGGACCTCCTCTACTATGTAGTACTCGCTTCTACTGCTCCTAGAAGCTGAGCACACCAACTTCTTCAGAGTTTGATATTAAATTCTTAATCTATGGGAAGGTCCAAATACCAAAATGTGTAACTTTCTGCTTTATGAAAGGGTACTACGTTGAATAACAATAAAGTACCTGGCTTTCCTGGATTTTTCTGAGTTTGTTAGGATATTCCAGCCCTTCATTACTGGCATGGCACAAGCAGCTACAACCTGGGATTTCAATGAAAAAAAAAAAAGTGTGTATTTGCATTTATTTGTAATTATAAGCAACTCAATATATAAAAATGTTAAATTATATAAACATTAAATTATATATTTGATAACAGGCAAAGAACAAGGTATTTTTTAAAACTGAATTTTTATTCATAATACTATGACCTGGTACTTTGCATTTATCCCAGAAATAAAACATCCTGGTTTTTAAGTTTATTCTAATAGTCAATGCAATTTTTTATTCCACTCTGAAACAGAACACCAAAAAACTGCTTTGACTAGCAGACACTATTGAATAAAAAAATTGCATACACCGGCCGGGTGTGGTGGCTCAAGCCTGTAATCTCAGCACTTTGGGAGGCCGAGACGGGCGGATCACGAGGTCAGGAGATCAAGACCACCCTGGCTAACACGGTGAAACCCCGTTTCTACTAAAAATACAAAAAAACTAGCCGGGCAAGGTGGCGGGCGCCTGTAGTCCCAGCTACTCAGGAGGCTGAGGCAGGAGAATGGCGTAAACCCGGGAGGCAGAGCTTGCAGTGAGCTGAGATCCGGCCACTGCACTCCAGCCTGGGCAACAGAGCAAGATTCCGTCTCAAGAAAAAAAAAAAATTGCATACACCAAAATGAAATTAAACTACTGAAAGTGAACTTCTTCCCTGCAACCCTTTTCTCTACTAAAAATCGCAGGGCATCAGCACTTTTAATGTGCTACTTGGCAACTCTACATCCTGGTTTTATATTATACAGCCATCCGGAAATAATGACAGCTATAAATCACCTTTAATTTCTAGATATGTTACAATTATATGGCACATGTGTTTATAAAGCACTTCCATCTATGTGTTCCCAGTTTTGAAATGAAGAGAGTCAATTGTACAAAATAATTAAATTTATAGATAGAAGTAAAGAGGGCTAGGTTCTCCACTACAACATTAATTCTAAATAAAGTTTGCTGCAAGATTGAAAGTTTTCTACCTTCTACAGCATGGTGTAGAATTTTAGGTATCAAGTACCTTGGGGGCTTTCTCAATTTCAACAAGGCACATCCTGCAGTTTCCAGCAACAGACAACCTTTCATGATAACAGAATCGAGGGATCTGCATGCCAACCTTCTCACAAGCCTAGAAGTAAAAAAAAAAAAAAAAAATGCATGAGAATAACCTGACATCACTGCTGTTATTGCTGAAACACACACATACGGCATCTTATTACTACTATCTATAATAATCTTAATTCATTCTTATTTCAGTCCCTTTCTTTGCCTTTCATTCTAACCTGTCTCCTCTGAAGCTGCCTCAGAGGATCTCAGGATCCTTGGCATGACTTCACCTTATGTGGAAGAAACTGGATAAAGTATCCTTCCACTGTGCTGAAGACCTGACTTCCCATATCCGTTCTGAACCATTGTCCACAATGTCCCCTCAAACTCTGTCCCAGTGGTTTCATACCTGGACTTCTTCTTTGCCTAGCTCCCCTCCTTTGGATTAGAGATTTCACTACACACTATCTAGCTGGCTATCTGTCTTTGGCTCCTATATCTCATCCAGGACTCACCTCCCACTGGGCTGAAGGTTATATCTATGTTCAAATTTCCTCTAGAGTTAATTCCTCCATCCTCAGCCTTCGTTTTAAAACAATGTCATCAATTTCCAATGTTTAAACTGGTTAGCAAAAATGTGTTGAGTGTTTCCTTTGTGCAGGATGCAGGTACAGTAGTGAACAAGACAGACAGTGTCCCAGCCTTCATCCTAGCTGACATTCCTTATGATGATTATGTCCAAACCTTCATCTGCAGCCGTGTTAGTTCTGCACTTCTCCAGGCTTCAGATTTACAGGACTTTGCAAGTGTATGTTCCACAGACAGCTTAAATTCCAATGATTTCTCTCCGCTCTATACACTCCAAAATAACCTAACAAATGCAGAAAACCACAAAAATTCCTCTGGTCTCTTTGAATTCTAAAGAACTATCTGTCTCTGTGTCTCTACTGAAACTTTGTGGGGTTTTTTTCCTCACCGTTAAAGTAATATTGGGAAGTTCTGTACAACGGGGGATAAAATTCCTCGGGTCTTCATCATTCCTGAAGGCCTGTCTACATGTCATTCTCCCTTGAATCTACTCTCTTGCTTTCATTCTCATAGCCACTATCTATTTTAGGGCTTTTCATAGTATCCTGTCCCAGTAATACAAAATGCTTTTTCCTTGTCTCTTATTCCAGTCTTGCTATTCTCCAAACGATCATCCTCTACAGTCACTGTCACCCTGCTTAAATAGGCAACAGAACTCCTGATGGATCAAAACATAAACTCTTCTGCACAGCAGATACTGTATTTCATCACTGAACCTTCCCTTCCTCAATAACTTGACTTCCTGTGATCTCATCTATTTAGACCTTATGTTTCATCAATATAAAACTATCTGAAGTTTTCAAAACATGACAAGTTATCTGCCTTAACTTTTACCATAGGAAATGCAAGCATGTCCTTCTTGTACACATATGAACACATCTATTCATCCTTTAATACTCCTCAGGGATGACCTGAGGCACCCAACATCTCTTTCTACTACCTCCTATCCCTGCCACAACTTTTTGCTGTACCTTGAACATACATTTATTATATATCATATTTTGTGCTTTCATGTCTGTGACTGGCAGACAGTCTAGAAATGACTGCTAAAATGAAAAACGAACATTTAGATCTGTGACAACTTACAAATGAAGTGAAGCATCACTTCTCTATGACCAATTTATTATTTCTGGAGGAATATGAAGAAATATTTAGAGCATGAATTTAAGCACATGCTACCCTCCGTTTACCTGCTTTGTAGGATATATTCCTATGAATATTACTAATCACAGAAAGGTTATATGAAAATGAAAAGCATCAAGCAGGCCCAAAACAAATGAAGGATATATTTTCACAAACTTACCTATAGTAACCAATTTAAGTTACTTCAAATTTCTTTTTTTTGAGAGAGAGTCTTGCTCTGTTGCCCAGGCTGGAGTGCAGTGGCACACTCTCAGCTCACTGTAACCTCTGCCTCCTGGGTTCAAGCGATTCTCCCGCCTCAGCCTCCCGAGTAGCTGGGATTACAGGTGCGCGCCATGATGCGCAACTAATTTTTTGTATTTTTAGTAGAGACGGGATTTCACCATGCTGGCCAGGCTGGTCTAGAACTCCTGAATGATCCGCCTGCCTCAGTCTCCCAAAGTGCTAGGATTATAGCCATGAGCCACTGCACTCGGCCTTCAAATTTCTTAATGGGTATTCATTTGGAATGTAGAAGTGAAACAAAAGAACTACCATAATTCACTAAAAATGTCACAGACAAATAAATGATAGTTCACTTTGAAGTGCCAAGATATAAAATGAAATAATTTTAATATAACTTTGCTATGTATAGTTATTTTAAGGAATTATTTGCTAATAATCAGTATAAAGGAAATAAATTAGTATATTTAAAAAAATCAGAACACACACACAAAATAGTTAGAATGTATGCCTACTTGGAGGACGGTCGTTCCCGGTTCCACCATGACAGACTGACCATCAACAAATACTTCAATCAAGTTGCTTGCTGCTGTGGCAGTTGTTCGAACTGACCATCAAAGATATTGAAGTGAAAAACAAATTAACAGTTTATTATAGCAGATGATAACGGATGAATTAACTCTAACTACAAACCTAAATTTTTCATTCCTTGTTATTCCTCTGTATTGCTCTGGATGCAAACTAATGGTTGTCTACTTTTGATAGTAGTTTAAACTGAAACTTCTTTCTTCTTTTTTTTGAGAGGGAGTCTCGCTCTGTCACCCAGGCTGGAGGGCAGTGGCACAATCTTGGCTCACTGCAACCTCCACCTCCCTGGTTCAACTGATTCTCCTGCCTCAGCCTCCCAAGTAGCTGGGATTACAGGCACTCACCACAATGCCTGCTAATTTTTGTATTTTTAGTAGAGACAGGGTTTCACCATATTGGCCAGGCTGGTCTCAAACTCCTGACGTCAAGTAATCCTCCTGCCTTGGCCTCCCAAAGTGCTGAGATTACAGGCATGAGCCACCGCACCCAACTTTAAACTGAAACTGTTAATGCCACTGAAAATATGTTCATGGGAAGATCACTTTTCAAAAACAATGTGATTTTTCCATTTTGGCACTGATGTGTGTAGTTCCTAATACTTTCTATTCCATGATAATTCCCATAAGCTGTTCAAAGTAAAATTATATTTTGAAAATTATTCAACCTAGATAATTTGTTTCTTTTTTTTTTTTTTGAGATGGAGTCTCGATCTGCCTCCCAGGCTGGAGTGCAGTGGCGCGATCTTGGCTCTATGCAACCTCCACCTCCCAGGTTTAAGCAATTCTTGAGCCTCAGCCTCCCGAGTAGCTGGGATTACAGGTGTGCGCCACCATGCCCAGCTGATTTTTATATTTTTACTAGAGATGGGGTTTCACCACGTTGGCCAGGCTGATTTTGAATTCCTGGCTTCAAGCAATCCACCTGCCTCCACCTCCCAAAATGCTGGGATTACAGGCATGAGCCACCACACCCAGCCTGTTGCTATTTTTATTTTTAAAAAGTATGGGTTTAGGTCTTTGATAAACTATTCCACAGACTTATAAATTTACAAAAATAAGGTCTAATATCCACAAATACAAATTTAAAAAACTACTCACCACATCCTTTAGGAGATTTAGAAAGGCCTACTAAGGCCTTTCTTACAGGTATCCTCAACATATTGCTAAAAATAAAACAAAGAATTATATTATTGTAGGGGAAAAAACAATCACCAACTGTTTGGTAATGTTTTATGGCTTTAAATTATTTCACATACATTATGTCATTGAATACTCATAGGTTCTGATATTTTCCCTCCAAGTCTGTAGATGAGAATTCTCTGTCTCAGAGACACTGACTTGTACAATGCCAAAGAACCAGCAGCAGCTATTGCATACATTTGGACTTTCTAATTCTATGCAGAGAGCAGTTTTGCCATTTAAAAAAATTACATAGAAAGGATCAAACTTAAAGCACTACCACACAGTAAAATAAACTGCAAGACTAACCGTGAGCTTATCATTAATGGTTATGTAAAATACAGTCATCTTTTCTGCTTTCATTTCCTACCAATACCCATTCTATCATTTCATGTTCTAAGCATAGCTGTCTACTAAATGCTCATGAGATATTCTGAGATAGCTCACCAGCCCAAAAGCCTTTGAGGTGTCTTGATTGCTATTTTCTAGTACACTTACCTTACAGATTTCCAATTATGTGTTTATAAGCCCATTCTGCCCTCACTGCATTAATTCCTTGAATTTTTCTATCTTCGTACCTATCCACCAGGCTGGCACAGAGTAAGCTCTTAAACAATGGCTCTCACCTGAGGACATTTGCTCCCCTGGGAATATTTAGCAATGTCTGAACACACTGTAGTCACAAACGAGGGGAAGTTACTGACATCTAGTGGGTAGAGGACAGGGTACCGACTATTCTACAATGTACAGGACAGTCCCCACAATAAAGATAATCATCCAAAGTGTCAACAGTGCTGAAGTTGAGACACTGCTCTAAAAGGCTTGCTGAATTATTGAAATAAATGGGGGTGGATTATATAAACACCAAGACTTAAAGACATACCGAAAACAGAAAAGTTACCAAAATTTATTTTTTTGTTTGTTGTTTTTAAGATGGAGTCTCACCCTGTTGCCCAGACTGGGAGTGCACTGGTGGCGATCTTAGGCTCACTGCAACCTCCACCGCCCAGTGAAGCAATTCTCCTGCCTCAGCCTCCAGAGTAGCTTGAGACTACAGGCATGCACCGACCACTGCCAGGCTAATTTTTGTATTTTTTATTATTTATTATATTTATTTACTTATTTATTGAGATGGATTCTGGTCCTGTTGCCCAGGCTGGAGTGCAGTGGTGCGATCTCAGCTCACTGCAACCTCCGCCTCCCAGGTTCAAGCGATTCTCCTGCCTTGGCCTCCTGAGTAGCTGGGACAGGTGTGTGCCACCATGCCAGGCTAATTTTCTGTATTTTTAGTAAAGACGAGGTTTCACCATGTTAACCATGATGGTCTCCATCTCCTGACCTCATGATCCGCCCGGTTCAGGCTCCCAAAGTGCTGGGATTACAGGCATGAGCCAACATGCCCAGTCTATTTATCCATTTTTGAGACGGAGTCTTGCTGTCACGCAGTCTCACTCTGTTACCCAGGCAGGAGTGCAGTGGCGTGATCTCGGCTCACTGCAACCTCCACCTCCCGGGTTCAAGCGATTCTCCTGCCTCAGCCTCCCGAGTAGCTGGGATTACACATGCCTGCCACCACGCCCGGCTAATTTTTGTATTTTCAGTAGAGACGGGGTTTCGCCATGTTGGTCAGACTGGTCTCGAACTCCTGACCTCAGGTCATCCACCCGCGTCGACCTTTCCCAAAGTGCTGGGATTACAGGCGTGAGCCACCGCGCCCGTCTGACAATCAGTTTTAAAGTGCTCTTTCTTTGAGCTCTTTTTCTTTAGTAGCAGTACACACTGTGTATATATTTTTATTGTTCTACTTACTGAACTGTAGGTTAGTAATCAATTTTAGTACCTACCAGACTCTAAGCTCCTTGAGGACATTTAGACATTTCCCTTTTTTGAAGACCTAGCACAGTATCCTTATGAAAATAACCACCAAATAGTCTTATCACCAAGTTCTAGAACTAGAGTAGCATCTGTCCTACTAAAAACTACTGATGGCATAAATGTAAACCTAAACTTACTCCATTAGAGCACTGACAGATTTGAAATCAACAATTTTAAAACTTTAATACTTTCTTATCTCCAATACGATATAAAAATAGTACTCACTTTGGATAGGAAATCAACTAGAACTAGGCTGTTGACATCCAGCATCAAGGCATAGCCCAACGTAAGAAATACAGATTTGCAACACTTCGATATGTGCTTTGAACACTGATATACCAAGTAGCAATAGAAATAATTATATCTTTAGATGGAAAAATGTTAATGACTAAAATGTCATTTCTAAAAGTAGACTGGATACTTTTCCGTATAGGGACTATACTATTCCACGTTCTCCAACATGGATTCATCCATCTACTTCCTGCCTTCCAAGGTACCACCCTATCCCAATCCACCATCACTCCTTGCCTGGAGTATTTCAGTATCTTCTTAACAGGTCACCAGGCTTCCACACTATTCCCACACAGCCCCTCCCCTCTTGCCACTGGCAGTGACCTCGGACTGAAATGTTCTTCCCTGGCCCCTCCTTATCCTTCAAATCTTGGCTTCGAAGCCTTTTCTCAGTTTCATTGACCAGCCTAACATTTCCTGACGATTCCCCAGAATATCACCCATTTTATTCTTCTTTAGGGACTCATTTCTGGCTCGCAGTAAACGTTCAGTAACTGTTAAGTGAACTGAATTTCTAATTTCTGGTCGTTAATTTGTAGGGACCACTTTCCCGGATTTAAAAAGTGCAGGTGCTCTGGCAGCGTTAAGTCGGTGAAAACAAGAATATTCCGCAAAACAAAAATAACCTGTTTATTCATCAAAAAGTTATTGTTACACTTCTATACTGTCAATTCGTGTGTGAAGTTGTGTCTGATCCAAGACCTCACAGTACAAGCATAGATCCCAATAACTTGTAAACAATATTTTGTTATTCGCAATGCAACCCTGAGCTAACTTTTCAAAAAGTCATTTTTCTCAATTTCCCGTTAGTGAAAGGAATTAAAAAATTCTGTCCAACGTGGTCAATGGACAAAACAAATAAGGACAACAGAAGCGTGAGCCACTGCTAACACAACAGCGACCAAACAATCATGTACTGTACCAGGCGTGTAAAAATCTGGGGGGAAAGGCTCAGTCTTAAGGCTTAAGTCATCGGACACTGGTCCTCTCCCGGGGAATAAAACGGCCTCCTCTGAGAGGAGAATGTCCTGAATTTTCCCTGCAGAGGGAAGGTCACCTACAAGCCCGCATTCGGGCCAGCGCTCCCGAGGGCCCCCTGATCCTCATCTTCCTTTCTGCTCCATCAGACCAGAGACCGTGGCTAAAAGCCCCCACTTGCCGGCTCTCAGGGGCTTCCCAGGCGGCGGGGCGGGGGGCGGCTCCCAGTCAAGGACAAGAGAAGACTAAGTCGCGTGGGCCAAAGGAAACAGTCCCGTCAATAAATAAGCCTCTGACCCATGCACCTCACCCTTCCCATCCATACAAGACCTCACCTTTCTCCCCGGAGCCGCAGAGGCCGTTCTGCTAAACTGTCTGGACCACAACTACCCCCTTGGAGGCCGGGTCGCTTACTCAATATGGCGGCCTCAGCTAACTCTGTCAGCCGGGCCTGGAGAACGGAAAGCCCGGAGGGACTAGAATCCTTGCATTCGATAAGTTTGTCGGCAATTTCCGTCAGCCGACCAGAGGGCGGAGCTGAGGTCGGCCCAGCCCGGAGGCGGGAAGGACAACTTGGACCCGCAGTTCCGCCGGAAGTGGCCGGCAGCCTCGAGGCCGAGCGTCTTCGGTCATCTCCGGCGCTTCTAGGGGCGGTTCCCGTCATCTTCGGGAGCCGTGGAGGTACGAACTTAAGACATGCCCATTTTATTAATTTATTTCCAAACGCAACGAAAGGTCCAGGGACAATTTGTGAGCCGTTTAATTCAGGGCCCCCAATTCGTACGTGGAGAAGTGGGAATGCTAACGTACCTTGACCTTTAACCTTCGGTCCGGCGTGGTGGAGGGAAACGCCTCCGTCTCTATATAAGGAATTTTCCGGCTTCTCCGGGCCCTTTTTCCTCTCTTAAGCGCGGGGCGCCCACAACTTGTGCGCTCTCTTTCTGCTGCGTCCCAGCTCTCGGATACAGCCGACACCATGGGTTTCGGAGACCTGAAAAGCCCCGCCGGCCTCCAGGTGCTCAACGATTACCTGGCGGACAAGAGCTACATCGAGGGGTGAGCGGACCGGCAGTGTCGGGGTGGTGGGGAGGTTTCTGGGACCGGGGCCGGGGCCACGTGGCGCAGCGTGTCGGCTGCCGCTGGAGGGAGGGAGACCGGGCCCCAGGGCCCTTTCGAGGATGACGGGAAAGCGCCCCGTGGCCATCTCCCAAGGCCCTCGTGTGGTGCGAGCCCGGCCTCCGGGGAGCGGCTCACGAGCAAAGGAAGGTTAAAATGTGCTTTATTTACACTTAATTCAGCCAGGTGTTTCCTCATCGCTGCCCAGTTAATACATGTTAGGTTGTAGATAGAGCAACGTTAGAGATTGCAGTATTTGAGGTCTACTAAGTGGCAGACATTTCTCAGGATAGCGCGGTGACCCAAACATATGGTTTGATATTAAGGAGATAAGAAGAAAAGAAAAGCATTAAAGCAACCCTACCGGAGTTAGTGCCCACTAATTAATGTGATGCATAGGCACTGATTATTTATTCGCTGGCGTTTGTTTTTCAAAGGTGTGTGTGAATGTCTCTGTGTCATTGGCAGGTATGTGCCATCACAAGCAGATGTGGCAGTATTTGAAGCCGTGTCCGGGCCACCGCCTGCTGACTTGTGTCATGCCCTACGTTGGTATAATCACATCAAGTCCTACGAAAAGGAAAAGGCCAGGTAAAATCATCTTTGTATCTAGCTGAAGAATAAGACTACTCTCGAAGCTTTATCAGGATGTTCACATGACAAAACTAGACCCAGGCTACTTTAGTTTTGTTGGGGTATTGTAAGCTAAATTTTTCTGTAACCTGAGAAGGCCAAGAGACTGAAGCCCTCCATTTTTTCACAGAACAGGTAGAACATGGACAGCAGCAATTCAACTTTTCCCCACACTGCCCTGCCAATGTGCCTCGACCTTGACCTGGGGGGCCCACCTCTGGGGTGAGAGGGTGGCTCATTCATTCAGTCCTTGGCCATTCTTCTGAAACTGCCAACAAGGGTGGAAGTTTGGGGAAGTGGACTCCAGTTCACTAAGAATGGAACTGAGCATACTTAATGAAATCTCAAACAGAAATGTTCATACTGAAAGAGTAAATCATAGTGAGTATTGAAAATAATGTCTCACATGGTACTAATGCTTGTCGGGTGAGGAGTTGAACATATGATAGTGTTTACCTGGGAGCATGTGAAAGGGTAAATTATTATTGCGAAAGGGATCTAGTGATAAGTAGTGATTAAAACAAGTTATTTTGTATTGTCTGGAAAAGTATGTTATACTAGCTCAATAGTGGTTGAATTTAAATGTTTTTCAAGCCTGCCAGGAGTGAAGAAAGCTTTGGGCAAGTATGGTCCTGCTGATGTGGAAGACACTACAGGAAGTGGAGCTACAGATAGTAAAGATGATGATGATATTGATCTCTTTGGATCTGATGATGAGGAGGTATGGCATCTTCTATAAAGAATATATCGGCCAGACACGGTGGCTCACGCCTGTAATCCCAGCATGTTGGGAGGCTGAGGCGGGTGGATCACGAGGTCAGGAGTTCAAGACCAGCCTGACCAAGATGGTGAAACCCTGTCTGTTCTAAAAATTTAAAAAAATGTGGCGGGTGTCTGTAATCCCAGCTACTCAGGAGGCTAAGGCAGAGAATTGCTTGAACCTGGGAGGCGGAGGTTGCAGTAAGCCGAGATCATGCCACTGCACTCCAGCCTGGGTGACAGAGCAAGACTCCGTCTCAAAAAACAAAAAAGAATACATCGATCAGCAATTTTATCAATGTGGTTAAGCCACATTGCCTGGATTTGAATCCTGGCTTTAACTTATATGCCTTTTTCAAATTCTGACTGGTTGCATGATGAATAAAATCAAATCACCATCTTTCGGCTGAGTTCGTGATGGATTTGCTTTTTTCTGATTAAGCCAGTCTTTTTTGTGATGACCCCACTAGCTTTAAGCAGAGGACAACCGGCTTTTTGAAGTGGATTAATTTTTTTTCTTTACAGGAAAGTGAAGAAGCAAAGAGGCTAAGAGAAGAACGTCTTGCACAATATGAATCAAAGAAAGCCAAAAGTAGGTCATTTGTTTTTAACTTCATTTCATGATAATGTAAGTAATCTTTTTCAAAGCTTGACCTTTAAGTAATTTCCTCCACATTCCTTGAACAGGTCAATATTTTAAAACCTCCTGTAGAAGTTCTTCCACAGCTACTGGTCTGCAGCTGTTCTTATGGTAGCAGTTGTGGCATTCCTCTGTGGGAAAGAAACTGTTAACACAAACACCTCTTTCTTAGCAAAACAGAAAGTGGGCATATGTGTGACAGACACAAGATGTATCTGTAGTTTTGTTTGGCTAAGGAGATAGTCAATCTCAAAACAAATTGAGGTGATTTGTTTGTGTCTTGGAGTAGGGTAAAAAAATACAGTTCATTATTTGAATAATGCTGTTTTTTTTTTTTAGAACCTGCACTTGTTGCCAAGTCTTCCATCTTACTAGATGTGAAACCTTGGGATGATGAGACAGATATGGCAAAATTAGAGGAGTGCGTCAGAAGCATTCAAGCAGACGGCTTAGTCTGGGGCTCATGTGAGTTTAGGCTTTGCCTTTTTTTTTTTTTTTTTTTTGAAACTGACATCTGGAATTTGTATACAGCTTCAACCTTCCTCTACAAGACTTTTCTAACTGAGATTTTTCTTAATGCTCTTTTTAGCTAAACTAGTTCCAGTGGGATACGGCATTAAGAAACTTCAAATACAGTGTGTAGTTGAAGATGATAAAGTTGGAACAGATATGCTGGAGGAGCAGATCACTGCTTTTGAGGACTATGTGCAGTCCATGGATGTGGCTGCTTTCAACAAGATCTAAAATCCATCCTGGATCATGGCATTTAAATAAAAGCTTGAAAGATTACCTTTGGCTCTTGAGTATGTTACATAGGAGGGTGGTGTATATATTCCTTTCATTTTGAGGGAAGGAATTAAATGAATATGTGATTCCTAAATAATAAAAATTTGGTTCGGCTTTGTTGTTAGAAAATTGTAGTGCAGGCCAGGTGTGGTGGTTCATGCCTGTAATCCCAGCAATTTGGGAGGCTGAAGTGGGTGGATCGATACCAGGAGGCTAATACCAGCCTGGGCAATGGGGAGAGATCCTGCCCCTACAAAAAAATACAAAAATTAGCTGGGCTTGGTGGTGCACCCCTGTATTCCCAGCTATTTGGCAGATTGAGGTGGGAGGATTGCTTGAGCCCAGGAGGTTGGAACTGCAGTGAGCCAAGGTTGTGCGACTGCACTGCAGCCTGGGTGGAGCAAGGTCCAAAGACCAAAAGAACCAAAAGGCTCTTGACAGCAAGGTCCTGTCAAAAGAAAAAAAACTAGTGCAGCTTTACCCATTTGTGATGTCCTTAGCAATGCCTGATGATGTGATTTGTTGTAACCTGTCATCTTTGCATTGGGAACTTGAAGATGTGAGATGTGTGACGCTACTGGAAAACACCTAACCCAGAGGAGGGAGGGCTTCCCAGAATTTGGCATGAATTATAACTACTTAACAGGTTACAAATTTAAAATGATGACTCATGTTGTAAATAAACCATCTTTTAAGTGTTGGGAATGTGATTTGGAGTATAGCACTGTGTCCTGGGAGGGGGATTATAAAGGTAACTGGTTCCCAGGCTTCCCAGGAAAACTTGACTTTGCTGTGAAGATTCATAGGTGCTGGGTTGTGGAGGTGGAATATTTTACTTGGATTTGGAAATCTGATTGGTCCTCATGCAGCAGGTAAATACTGGGATGAGGGTAGTATGTTGAGTAAAGTGATAGTCAAGTATTGGAAACAGCTTCATCTTGACAGGGAATTTGAGGTCTGGCTAACATTTGATAGTTTTTTTGTTTGTTTGTTTTTTGTTTTTTTAATAGTAGTTTTACAAAAGCAGTGCTTGGGAATTGCTGATCTCAAATGATCAAAAAATTTTAGGTCAATTTTTTTTGTTTTTTGGGGGGGACCGAAGTCTCGCTCTGTCGCCCGGGCTGGAGTGCAGTGGCACAATCTTGGCTCACTGCAACTTCCGCCTCCCAGGTTCAAGCAATTCTGCCTCAGCCCGCTGAGTAGCTGGAATTACAGGCATATGCCACCACGCCTGGCTAATTTTTATGTTTTTATTAGAGATGGGGTTTCACCATTTTGGTCAGGCTGGTCTCGAACTCCTGACCTCAGGTGATCCACCCACCTTGCCCTCCCAAAGTGCTGGGATTACAGGCATAAGCCACCATGCCTGGCCCCTAGGTCAATTTTTTAATAGAACTAGACGGTGCTATTTCCTCTCGGTCTGATTTTATGTTTTGACTGCCATGACTGTGGGAAACTATATTATAAGGAAGATTTATTTAACAGATATATACATTGAATAATATCTCTAAGCAATATCTC